TTGACCTTGGTGAGTTGACCGTTATGAGGTGACTGTGGCAAGATGACCGTGGCATGTTGAATTGTCCCGGAGAGAGTTGGCTGTAGAGAATTGGCTGTGGTGAGTTGTCCATGGTGATTTGTTCATGGCGAGTTGTCCATGGTGAGTTAAATTGTCTCGCAGCAAATTGGCTGTGGTGAGTTGCCCGTGATAAGTTGATGGTGGCGAGTTGTCCACGGCGAGCTGACTGTAGTGAGTTGAATTGTCCTGCAGCGAGTTGGCCATGGTAAGTTGGCCATGGCAAGTTGATCTTGTTGACCTTGTGGCGAGGTTGTCCTCTTCCTTGATGCTCTCAGCTCCTCTTTTAGCAACCCTTGAAATGGACAACGCTGAGCCCCAGGTGCCGTTTCCGATAGATCTCTGAGAACCTCACGTTGATGTCAACTGTCTATTAACACCACCGGGTAGTCAAGGAAGAGAGCCAAGAAGGTCATGGATCCAGGTGGATCTAGGCCTGGTTCCAGCGTTCAGCTCCACCAGTGTCAGCCTGACTCATAAGTTGGACCAAGTCGCCTTCTCAGAGAGGTGATCTGTTTGCACATATCTCTTCGTGCTTGGCTTGCCAACTGCGGGGCTCTGGCTGAACTTTCTCTTCAGCTGTTGGACTCCTCGTTCTTCTCTGATCTTCCGTCACCCAACCGGCCTCCAAGGGGCGAGACGCCTTCCCCTGTTTTACTGAGCTAATCCAGCATTTTATGCCCTTGGAAAAACAGCTGTTGAATGTCTTCAGCGCAAAGAGGGTCTCTTTCTAGAAAGTTTCTCTTGGTGTCGGGGTGCTTTTTTAGAAAACTCTGGGTTTGTTGGGTGGGAATCCTAAAGGCTTCCTATGATTGGTTCGCTTTGATTTTTATGATGCAAGAAATGTTTTAGAACAGGGGTCGCCAACCTTTTGGACCTCAGCGACCACCAAACTCATCATTTTAAATCCCGCGGAGCAGAGACCCTGGGGAAATCCCCCCCCAAAAAAGTCTGCAGGAAAATTCTCCACCCTGTTTTCCTACCGATCGATCGTTCTTTATTTGGGATCGCAGGATGCCGTCTCCAGCTCCGTTCTCGGGGGAGAGAGAAGAGAGAGAGAGAGAGAGAGAGAGAGGGAGAGACTTTTGGCTTCATGCAAGGAAAGCAGCAGAAGCCGCAGAAGTCTTTCTTTCTCTCCCCCAAACTCCGCCAGAAAGGAGTCTTTGCCGGCGCAGCCATTGGAGCAGGAGGCCTTGCAGAGTCCCAAAGACTCATTTCTGGAGGAGTTTGGGGGAGAGAAAGAAAGACTTCTGGTGCTTTCCTTGCGTGCAGCCAGAAGCAGAAGAAGAAAGAAGCAGAAAGAAGCAGCCCAGTGGCCAGGCCAGGCGCATGGGGCGAGTGGAGCAAGTTTCCCCTCTCCCCCCTTCCCCCCCTCCTCTCACTGCCTCGGGGTGTTTGCAATGCAAGGGACGCAAGCCTTGTGTTCCCACGGGTCATGTGGGCGGCGCAGCCTTGTGTTCCCACACAGCCTGGATTAATTGCTTTTTGGCGGGGGGGACATTTCTTTGCGGACCCCCAAAATTTTCTCACGGACCACCAGTGGTCCCTGGCTGTTTTAGAAACTGAATTCTTAGTTGATTTCCAGAAGAAATTTAACAGGTAAACTGAAACGGGTTGTTTAGACACAAAAAAGGGCAGCGAGAAATTCCGTACAGGTAGACCTCAGCTTACGACTTCGCCTCGCAATCAGGAGGCTATGAGTTCGATCCTAGGTAGAGGCAAATGCTTCTCTCTTTGAGCGCAATGAGAATATATAGCTGGCGAACAGAACTCCGCTCTGGTGACAGGAAGGGCCTCCAGCCATTAAAAACTCTGCTAGTTCCATTCAGTTGCCCAGACTCCACCCCGCAAGGGATTGTGGGGGACGTTAAAAGAGGATGATGAGTCCTCAGCTTATGACTGCAACCCCAAATTTCTATTCTTGAGCAAGACAGTTATTTCTTGCCACAGTCGTTAAGTGAATCGCTGCCGTTGTTAGGTTAGCAGTACAGCGGTTAAGTGACTTTGCTCGTTGGAAGATCGCAAAAAGAGATCACATGACTCGGAGATACTGCAACTGTCATAAGTACAAGCCAGTTGCCAAAGCATCCAAATTTTGATTAGCTGACCACGGGGATGCCGCAACGGTCGTAAGTGTGAAAAATGGGCATCAGTCACTTTTTTTTCAGGGCCGTTGTAACCTTAAACCATCACTAAATGAACAATTGTGATGAGGACTACCCGTAAATGAAATAAACTAAATAAATAAAATAATCATTGCATTTATTTAACAAATTACAGTTAAATAAACTGTGGCTTACCGTGACATGCAGGACTGTGGTTTGTTGGCTTCTTCTGAAACTTTTTCAGAAAGCAACTGGACTTCGTTGTTTTTTTCTTTTGAAGACGTTTCGCTTCTCCTCCAAGAAGCTTCTTCAGCTCTGACAGGATAGTGGGGAATGGAAGGATTTATATTCCTTGCAGGCCGCTGGTCATTTGCATCCTTTTAGAGGGTCGTTGAGGCCACTTGGAGGTCCAAAGGTGCTTTTTCAGGAAGCAACTGGACTTTTTTTGGTTTTTTCTTTTGAAGACGTTTCGCTTCTCCTCCAAGAAGCTTCTTCAGCTCTGACAGGATAGTGGGGAATGGAAGGATTTATATCCCTTGCAGACAGCTGGTCGTTTGCATTCTTTTAGAAGGTCGCCGAGGCCTCTTGAGGTTTATCTTTTAGCTATACAACTTGGGCTGAACACCCTTGGAATGGGGTGGGAGTAGGAATGGATTTCCAGAGGAAAAATTGCAGGCCACAGGAACCAGGAGCTTCACTCAGGTGATCCTGAGGGGACAGACAAACCTCCAAGTGGCCTCAATGACCCTCTCAAAAGGATGCAAATGACCAGCTCTCTGCAAGGAGTATCAATCCTCCCATTCCCCACTATCCAAGTCAGAACTGAAGAAGCTTCTTGGAGGAGAAGCGAAATGTCTTCAGTGGAAAAAAAACAGGAAAGTCCAGATGACTTTTGTAAAAGCACCCTTGGATCTCTACAGACTTTTAGCTTCTTCTTTGCAAAGTCGTTGTTGGTCCCTTTGCTTTTCAGGAGGGCCCTACGCTGCTTCCTTGACTCCAGGAGACCGGAAGAACTGGACCAAAGGGACTCGCACCCGAAAGAGAATATTCGAAGCCTACATGTCGAAGGAAGACGTATCGGAAGGTCTGAAGAGAAAAACGCTGATCCAGGTGGGGGAAATGTTGGCGCGCGAAATAAGAAAAGGATTTTGTGTGCAGAATTTGTGTGCGTGCCAAATCAAATTCTTCTCTAAGATGGAGAAAACAGGTTGGAATCTAATATTTAGAATTAATGCCCAAAAGAAGACGCTTAGGCATTTATTGCGCCGTTATCTATGCAGGTAGTCCTCGACTTAAGAACACAGTTTGAGCCCAAAATGTGAGACATCGGTCAAGCGAGGTTTTGCCCCGTTTTACGACCTTTCTTGCCACAGTGGTTAAGTGAATCGCTGAGGTTGTTGAGTGAGTAACACAGTCGTTAAGTGAATCTGGCTGCTTGTCAGAAGGTTGCAAAAGGGGATTATGTGACCTCGGGACGCCGTGACTGTCATAACTATGAACCAGTGGCCAAGCGTCTGAATTTTGATCATATGGGGATGCTGCAGCGGTCGTTAAGTGTGAAAAACGGTCACAAGTCTCTTTTTTTCTGTGCTGTTGTAACTTTGAACGGTCACTAAATGAAGTACCCGTACTTATTTATGGCGCTCGTTAAGTAGGATTATAGCATAGAATAGAAGTAGATTTAGAATAGAATTAGAATAAAATAGAATTAGAATAGAATAGAATAGAGTAGAATAGAATAGAGTAGAATTAGAATAGAGAATTAGAATTAGAATAGAATAGAATAGAATAGTAGATTTAGAATAGAATTAGAATAGAATTAGAATAGAATAGAGTAGAGTAGAATTAGAATAGAATAGAATAGAATAGAGTAGAATTAGAATAGAATTAGAATTAGAATTAGAATTGAATAGAATAGAATTAAAGTAGAGTAGAGTAGAATAGAATAGAATAGAATAGAATAGAAAGGAATAGAATAGAATTCTTTATTGATCAAGTGTGATTGGACACACAAGGAATTTGTCTTGGTGCAAATGCTCTCAGTGTGCATAAAAGAAAAAATCCTAGTGGACAATCCCTTAAATATGAGCCAGCCCTGTGTTGCCACGATGTGAAAAAGATGTTGGGACTCTCGAAAGAGTGCAGAGAAGAGCAACAAAGAGGATTTAGGGGGATTGGAGGCTAAAGCAATCAAGAACGGTCGCTGGGATTGGATATATTTAGTTTAATGAAAAGAAGGACTAGGGTGTGACACGATAGCACCCTTCCAATATTTGAGGGGCTGCCCCAAAGAAGAGGAGGGGGTCAACCTATTCTCTCTTATTTCATGTTTTTATGATGCATTTATAATACATCATACAGTACATCATATTTTCAATTTTACATTAACTGTCCATCTCTTTCGTTCTCCTTCCCTCCCTTCCCTTCTCCCCTCCGTTTCCCTCCTCCTCCTCCACTTCCTTTTCCTTCTCCTCTTACTCCTCTCCTCCCTTTTCCTCTCCTCCTCTCCTCTCCACTTCTCCACTTCCCGCTCCTTCCCTTTCTCCTCTGCTTCTTCTCCCCTCCGCTTCCCTCTCTCCCTACCCGTCTCTTCTTCCCTCTTCTTCTGAGAAGAGAGAGCCGAGCTCTTCTCCCAAGGCCCCTGAGAAGCAATGGACGGAAACTCATCAAGGAGAGAACCAGCCTAGAATTAAGGAGGAATTTCCCAACAGTTAGGAACAATTAATCGGTGGAATAATTTGAACTCCAGAAGTTGTGAACGCTCCAACACTGGGAGTTTTTAAGAAGAGGTTGGCCAAGCATTTGTGGCGTAGAGTTTCTTGCCTAAGCAGTGGGTTGGAAAAGAGGACCTCTAAGGTCCCTCCGGACTCTGTGGTTCTATTCTGTCCCCAGATCCTTTGGCCTCCCCTCGGCCTCCAAGGGGGCCCTTCTCCATGTTTTGGGAGGGAAGCGGCAACCAGGGCCCCTTTCCTGACCAATCTAGCAGCCATTTGTGTGTGTGAGGGATGGCAAAGTTGAGGATGACATCATGAGATTCTGGGGAGGTGGGAGAGAGAGAGAGAGAGAGAGAGAGAGAACGAGAGAGAGAGCCCTGGTCCTCGGTGCACAATGTGCCAACAGTTGTTCCCTACAGATGGGGAGGATGGCTGGCTCCAGATATGACATCACAGCGTGAAAATGGGGTAAATAGGATTATAGGTCCCATCTGCTTTTGAAGAGACAGGAGATCAATCCTCTCTCTCTCTCTTTCTCTCTCTCTGTCCCTCTCCCCTCTCTCCTCTCTCTTCTCTCTCTCTTCTCTCTCTCTCTTTTCTCTCTCTCTCTCTCCCCTCTCTCTTCTCTCTCTCTCTCTTTTCTCTCTTCTCTCTCTCTCTCTCCCTCTCTCTCCTCTCTTTTCTCTCTCTGTCTCTCTTCTCTTTCTTCTCTCTTCTGTCTCTCTCTCTCTCCCCTCTCTTCTCTCTCTCTCTTCTCTCTTCTCTCTCTCTTCT